TTTTGTTCTTCAGTCTAGTTGTGGAGGACGTCACTTCACTGGCCCACGTTGGGATTATCATTGCGCTCTTCCCGGATGAGGCAGATCAGTCTCTGGACTGCTGCTCACGGTGGTTCTTGGCCGCTCACGCTGGCTGCCAGCCACTCATGGTAGCTTTACAACAGCCCACTGCAGCCTCACTGCAGCCTACGCCATTGCCGGTGACACACGGCAGCCCAGCTCCAGGTTGAGCTGTTGTTCACCATCTTAGCTGTAGAGGGCGCAGCATCACTGGCCCTCATGTGGGATGCGAACTGTGGCCCTGCTGCTCAGAGCTGGCGTCCTAAGTCAGCTCTTAATCAACGTGCCACTTGGCTGGCCCTTAAATAACCACTTTCAAGGGGGGAACTGTAACATTTGGTCAACTCAAAGTCAATAGACCAAACTTTGATAAACAATCGGTTCCATATATGACTTAAATTCCTTCAAGCATTTAAAACTTCAGTATTAAATATATTTTGATTTCTTCTACTGCCTGAACTGACTGACCAATAAACCTCAGTACTTACACTATTTTACTAAGGTCTAACAAATTCAGTTTATAAAGATAAAGTGTGCCTTTTTTTCCCCATAGGCTGTGATCTATTTAATGCAATTTGTCTATACATTGTATCTGCTTCCCAATTCAGCTGTAAAGCACGGGAAGTGAAGGGAGGGCCAGTTCTGTTTTGTAAGCAGTGACTGGCACTTAGAGAACTTTGAAGGTCAAAAGGGATTTGAACTGGCAGAGGCCAGAGAGAGTTTTCCAGACCAGGAGAGGACTAGCAAATGTTATGAATAGTAATGGTGGTATAAAGATTTTGTTCATATTGGCCAAGTTTTGCCCATGATAATTTTACATGTATTATATACATTTATACCTTCCCCCTCACCACGGGTACACAAAGAGCAGGTACACAAAGAGCTTGATACGTTTTTTGTCGTTGAGGATTTGGGATCAAAATACATAAAACTATTGTATATGTTTAATGAGCTCTTCAACATGACACTATGCAGGCTGCATCTCCAAAGTCCTTTCTATTTCTCATGCCATATTCCTGGATTTTTCATTCTAGGGTATGCTATCAGTGGGTGCATAATCTATTTTTTTCCTCCCATACACTCTATCAATATCTCACCCTACCATCAGACAAAACAGTTCACATTCATTCATTCGATTCACCAAGTATTTATTGAGCATCTACTAAGTGTTGGCCAGTGTCCTAGAGGCCTTTGGGGTGCTTCAAGGGACAAAACAAAGATCCTTGCCCTTGAGGATTTTATATTCTAGGCAGATGGGTAGACACAAACACAAAAACAAATTATATCGTATTTTAAGAGGTACTAAGGGCTTTGGAAGTAAAGGAATTGTAGAGCTGAGGAAGGGAGATGTGGTCAAGTTTTTCACATCTGGAATTTTTCAGTGAAGGTGTGTAAACTCTATAAGAATATTTTTATGCATTTTGTCTTATTGCTTCCCCCCCACTCTGCCTTCTTTGGGGGCAAATGTCTCTTTCCTGCCTGGAAATTTGTACAGTAATGATAATAAGTACCATTTACTGACACTGCAGTCAGGTAGCAGTCGCTACCAGGCACCTTTGACGATTAGCCTATTTAATCTTCGATACACCCGAAAAGGCAAGTATCATTATTCCTCTTTACGAAAAAGGAAACTGAAGTGACATCTCGATGAACATCAGGGGTCCTTCCTTGAGCGCAAAGCGGAGATTTATGCGAACTGGATCTGGTTATCTAAGAGTCAAAACAAGATTGACAAGAACCTGTCCTCGGATTCCTTTAAGTCAACGTGGGTGAGGTGTGACAGCGCACCCAGGGTCCAAACTGAGTGCGGCTCAGCAGAGCCCGGGAGACTGACGCGACCTGTCAGCCGAGAGTGTCGCTGCCCTGGCGCTTACAACACGGCGAAGTGGAATTGTCCCCCGGGGCGGGAGCCCGGGGTGCCCAGAGCACCCGGGCCAGGGGGCGGGGCCTGGACGGAAGGGGCGGGGCCACCATCTTCCAGTGAAAAGGCCTCCCGAAGTGGTTTGTCCTACGCTGCAGCCCGTAGAGACTCCAAGTTGTCGCCCCTTCTCGGGGAGTGGCAGAGATTCGGTCATGTGACAGTGGAGGGCGGAATTGGACAGGTGGGGATCGCAGGGAATTGACAAAAACAGACGGCGACGGTGACGCCGTAGGGTCTATGGCTGAGGCGGTGAGACCCACTCGCCGGGCCAAGGCCAAGGCCAGCCGGACTAAAACCAAGGTGAGGATACCCTCTCACCCCGACACCCTTCTCCCCGAGACCCTGGTGGGTGCGCTCTGTGTCCCTTTTCTCCCTTGGGCCTCTCCAGCCAACTCTACCCATCATCCCCCGAGCCCTCCGCATCCTCTGCCCCTACCTTCCCCTCGCCCCCTTATTTGATCGCATTATCCATTGACTCCAGCCCTGTTGCTCTGTTCCTCCTACACATGCCCCAGACTTTGTCAGGATCTCCCCCCGCCCCCCTTTTTATTTTTATTTTTCCATCTTTGACTTTTCTGGGCTCTTCCCTTCTTGACTTTCCTCCCCTGGGTCTGGATTCCTGCCGTGGAGCAGCTTTTCTGTTCCGAGCCTCGTCTTTGACTCTCTTTCCCCCTTTATAACCTGGGAAAATTTTCTGTCCCTTTCGTGCATAAAGAGGGAAGGAACCGGTCCTTCACGCGGAGAACGTATCCTTGGGCAGAGCTTTGTGGACAGCGGCAGACAGAAAGCAAACTGGAGTGATGTATCTCTTCACTTTTAAAATTCAAGGCGATAGTGGTGGTGGTGCTATTTATTTCTCAGTATCCTGGTTGTTTATCATGAGGGCAGGAATGTCCAGAAGTTAAACCGGGGTGACTCACTATTGGGACGGACTTGAATTTTCTAGGTTTCCTGGATTAGGCGGACATGTGATGTTGCTGTGTTTTTAGGTGCTGTGTTTTCATTTTGTATATTTTCTGAAGCGATATTTAGTTTATAGTGAACAGATTACATGCTACCCTTGGATGTCTGGACCTAGATAATTTTGGCTTATCTGAAACTGAATTTACGTTAAGGAAATTATGAGAATGGCATTGCAAGTACAGGAAGTTTCCATTCCTACAAGTGGGTAATGTTCCAGAGCAGGTGTAACTTAAAAATGACACCCAAATCTGATTTTGTCATGGGAACAAGGCTTTAACAGGAGACCAGTGTTCAAAGGTAGTGTATTTAATAAGCTGTAAATGACTTACCTGAATCCTTTTCATTATGATGCCCTTTAAAAAAGCTCTGTGTGCATCAGTGTCTGTGAGGAGTTACTCTTTGGGAAGAAAGTCATTTTGCTACCTAATTTCAGAAACATTTTTAAGAGAAATACTTTTGCATTGTATTGGGCTGGTAAAGAACTATCAAGACAGAGGAGGAAGAAAAAAAAGTGATTGGTTAGCCGTGTATAAGGCCCCTGAACCTAGACTACAATAGTGCCTAACATGTAAACATCAGTCTGTAGAAGAGCAGAATCTTAATTCTTTTTTATTTTAAAGATTTTATTGGAGAATTAGGGAAAGGGAACATTGTGTTTTTCCAGGACCCATCAGCTCCAAGTCAAGTTGTTGTCCTTTAATCTTTTAGTGGAGGGCGCAAGCTCAGCTCCAAGTACAGTCGCCACTTTCAATCTAGTTCCGGGATGGGAAGTGGGGGGGGG